TACGGGAGACTCCCACAAGTCTGAACTCGACCAATATTTACAAGAACCCTCGGTTAATTTGGGTATGGATTCTGACGTATTAGGTTGGTGGCGTGCCAATGCTCTAAAATTTCCAACACTAGGGAAAATGGCTCGTGATTTCTTAGCAATTCCAATATCAGCTATTTTATCGAAGTCAAACTTTATTGATGAAATAATGAAAATGAATCCAGCCATCAGTGGCCTGAACCCTGAGATTGTGGAGGCTTTAGTATGTGGACAGGACTGGCTGGAAAGCCCTAAGAGGAGGTAAATTCTTATTTTCATAAATATCTTGTTGGGATCCTTATAGTCTCCACTGTATGCCACTTTTATCTCTGGTTCCTTTTGCCCCCTATCTAGTTCATTCTGCTGTAAGCTGAAATGGATATAATTTCCCATAGAAATGGTGTTTTGGAGGATCTATGGAAAAAGAAAACTAAAACTCCTAAGCAGTATCCTTTGAGTTGTTTTGGAATATCCAATTCCTGTGAGAAGTGGTAATTTTAAATGCTTCCCTCTGTTATGAGAATTCCACTCATTGAACCATTTTTCAAGCTAGTAGTGGTAATTTTAATTTCTTTTTCTAGGAGATATTCCAGTGTCTATATTACTATTCAAAAGTTTTTTTTTTCCCTTTTTAACGGCACCAAAGGGAAGAGAAATATAAAATCAAAGAATTATAATCTTCTTTTGTTGATGCATGGATGCTTCTTCTTTTCCCATTTCTTTTCATGGGGAGGATATTATTGTTTGAGACGTAACCTGATGAAGCTGCTATCCACGTTCCATCTTTTGTTTCCTGTCAAGTTGTGCTCCTATTCAGCTGCGCATCATTGGCAAACTTTTGTGTCTACAGAAGTGGAAAAAAAAGCAATGAAATTTGAAAGTTATGCTTCCTCTAGTTAAAATCTGAAAGGTCTAAAGCTAGCAGCAAGTTTACCTTGATATTATTTTCGGTTTACCTTGATATCATTTTCGTAGAAAGTCTCGATAGTCTATAAATTGCAGGCATGTTCCTGTTTGTTTATTTCATATGTGAGAACTCTTGTGATTCCAATATGTGCCATTATAGCTCACCCCCTTGAATCATATAGTTGATATTGTTTGTTAACTTGCATTTTTTTCAATTGTACCTGTTAATTTTTATTTTTTTATATTAATTTTCCAATAACTCTAGACTCACCCAGAGCGAGGATGGTGTGCTGGAGATGGAATGGAATCAAACTCCTCTTCATCATCATCATCCAAATCTCCTCCCTCATCCACATTCGTCGGATCACAATCAAGCAGCTCCAATTAATTCAGAGGAGCACCAATCGTCTCAAGTCCAGACTTGATCTCAGTAGCAGTGCTGTGGCCTTGTCTAGGTTATAATATATTAATATTTATTTAAATTGCAGTCATTTAATGATGAGAAGCATATGTTTAATTAAGGACCTTTTTTTTTTGCAGGAATGGATCGTAAAGCTTGAATATGGATCGTAAAGCTTGAAGTTTTCTTTTTCATAACCCGAATGTCAACACCCATTTGCTAAAAATATTCAATCTGGATTGCAAGTTTCAGTTTTGGCCATATCTATAGTATCATCACAAGGAGGTGAAGTCCCTTCCCATTTCTGATTCCGCCAACTGTTATCAGTACTGATGGCGAATCTGCTGTTGCTGCCATGGCCATCCGAGGAAGTACTCGCGGTGTCTCTTTCAATTCATGCATTGCATATTGTATATACATACCATATCAGTTTGGTCTTCTGTGACCACAAGGTCAATGAATAATGCTTGTTGTCAACGCGATGGCATCAGGGGATTGAGCAGTGACTCGGTTGGTTATATATAATATTATTATATTTATGTAAATATATAGTTATTATTAATAAAAAATTAATTTATCTTTAATATTTATTTAATATTAAATTAATAAATCTAGAATAAAAATAAAGTTTATATAATAAAAATATTTTACAAAGAAAATTATAGATATAAGGATAGATATATATTATGTTTTTTTTTATAAAAATCATTAATAACTTTTCTAATTTTTTAGGGATTATGACACGTTGTTAGATGATATATCTGATTTTTAAATATAAATTAATTAATTATTGAATTAATAATAAATTAAATTATTTAATTTATTTAATTTTATTTACATGTAATTATAATTTATATTTCAATCAATAAATTAGAAATTTAATATATCAGACACATTAAAAATTAAAAATTAAAAATTATTTGTTAAAAATTAAATTTGAATGATTTAATTAAGTATAATTTGATTAAAATATATATTAGAAATTAAAGATTAAATTATAATTAATATATAAATTGTATTTTTAGACCTAAAAAAATTAAGTGAGGACTTGATTAAGTTAATTTTTAAAATTATCTTGAATTAATATATAAATATTATTTAGGAAGAAAATTAATATTTTATCAATTTATAGGGTTTTTTAGATTTTTCTCTAAATAATAAGTTACACCTCTTCTTCTTGTTTTTTTTTTTTTAAAGTAAAGAGTGGTTGTTTATTAAAGAGAAAAACTACCAAAACATAATATTAGAGTTAACAATTTAGACATAGTAATTTTGTTTTTAAATAGAAATTTAGAAGATTTTTTACAAGTAAATCATGTAAATTATTATTGAAAATTGGATAATTAAACAGTTTGTACTTTACAATAACTCAATTTTTAAAAAATTATTCAAAGGTGATCAGATTTTTAGATAAATATTCTTAAATAATTCTAAATTTATTTAACAGTATTTTTAAAAATCTCAAATAAATTTATTTTATAATTTCTATGACATATATGAAATTCAAAACCCAACACGGTGGCATTCGAAATAATCAAGTAGCTGATCTGTACTTTGTGAGTTTTCTGTGGTTGAATCTTAAATAATGTTCCACATCGGGCTGGTAATGATCAGCTAATGTTTCAAGGTGCAAAGAAGTCAAGTGCAAACGATTCGTAACATGCTGTTGCTGGCTCTGGCCCAGATGGAAAATGGGTCTATTTCATATTGGAGGTTGATCATCTGCTACTAGTTTACCTTTACCCTATGGTTTTGGCGGGGAAATTCTTGGCTGGTGATTTTAACCGTGCTGGAGATTGCTGGACCTTGCATTTTATTGATGATGGATGGGAGCTGAAGAAGAACATATTCTTGCTTTCAAGAATCTGGAACTGACATGCCGACTCTGCTTCAAGTTACTAAAAGTGTTCTTATGGAGTGAAACATCGACAGCAACGTGCAATCCATCTCTGCCAAGACCGTTCCTCCAGATGAACATATGGTTAAAGAACCAAAAATGGCCCCACTTGGTTATCTAATTATGGTAATATCCGCTGATTTAACTCGTGTTAATTCGTTTTTCATGCAGGGACTGAAGATAAAGCCTGAAGTCATTGGCTGGTTGCTAAAATCATTGCAAGCTTCACTGCTACTGATATCTACATAATCATCACAAGGATGTCAGGTCCCTTTCTGTTTCTGATTCCATCACCTGATTATCAGAACTGCAGGCGGATCTACTACATTTGCTACCATTGACGTCCAGAGATGTAATTTTCCGTAACCAGTATTACTGTTAACAACCAATGGAAAATTAATATCCTCAAATCTTATCCAGGTAAATATGAACTCTTACCATAACTCTCGTATATAGTTAAATATAAATAATCAAAATGCAAATCCAACAATAAATTTATTTTCTCTTGGGGTATGTTGTTATGCTTAGAAAGTGATTCTTTTCAATGGCAATACTGCTCAGGCAATTGTCTCCCTCTTTTCTTTTAGCTGCTTCAATGTATGGCTTGTTATTTTGAACCTGTTTGGCAACACAGTGCACTTGTTTTTGAAGAGCATAAACATATAGAGAAAGGGTGTCTTCTGACTGGACAAAATCATTTTATTACGGGTTAGGACTAAACTAGGGGATGATAATTTGTTCATTACTAGAGGGTACAAAAGGAGGGAGAAGCCAAGCCAACTAGTTCTGATAATAATTATTAAAGTCAATTTAGAGTAACGCGGGATGCGTTTTCTTAAATTTTATTTTTAATGTTTTAGATTATATTAAAAATAATTTTTAAAAAATTAAAAAATATCATTTTAATACATTTTTAAACTACTTTGAACTATAATCACTAATATAATCTCAAACATATCCTAAATTTGGATAAAATTTGAGGCTATGAATTAAAAAGATTAATTCATTTTTATTTTAAAAAAATTACAATAATATTGTTCTAAATATTTTTAAAAAGAATTAATATATATACAACTAAGTTTTATCTTGCTAATCTGAATTACTAAGTAACCAGGGTCACTAAATCAATTACCTGCTATATTATTTTTTAAATCTAAACCAGTTCAGTTATTGAATTCTTGTTTAACCTTAAAGATCGGTTTGGATTTTATCAAGGTGATATTAATTAAAAAAATCCCAGGAAAATTTTATGGTAATAATTATTAATGATTAATATTATTTATCTAATATTTTAATATTTTTATTTAAATAATATTTATTATCTTTGATGTGATTAATATTTATTATCTTATTTGATGTGATTTTGATTTTAAAAATTTTTTGTAGTTGAAATTTTTCGGCATTTATACGGGAGGCCAGTCTTTGACAAACTTAATTTATTTTTTTAGTGATTCATTTGTATTTGTCTAATAATTAAATATTAAAAGATTTTTTTTACATTCTCTTTTATTATTAGACAAACAGAACATATGAGTAAGAAAAATACAACATATACAAACATGCAAATTATTACATAAACTAATTCTAACTTTATTAATATCAACAAAAAAATATACAAATTCATATATTATTTTAATTTCGCTATGGAGAAAACTTTCATGCTATTATACTCGAAATCGGATTTTATAACTATTGTTTGCGATAGTTTAGGGGTATATTTGGTATTCTAATAATAATAATATTAATATCAATAATATAGTATAGTCCACAAGCATATGAAAAAAAGTGCGGTGAGCAGACTTTAGGAGCAGCAGCAGCTCAAGTCAATCATATCCTCTCCTGTTCTTCCCCTCTCTCTTTCTGCGTTCTAGGTCCTTCCATTCCGTCCCCGTCTCCGGCTTCTGTATTTCTTGGTTTTTGAAAAGAATCAATGGCGGATCTGGAGAAGAAAGCGAAAGAAGCGTTCATCGATGACCACTTCGAGCTAGCCGTAGATCTCTACACGCAAGCCATCGCGCTTAACCCTACCAATCCTGACCTCTTCGCCGACCGCGCGCAAGCCAATATCAAACTCAACAATTTCACCGGTAACCTAACCGTAGCACTAACTGGACAATTTCTCTCTTCTTTTTAGTTGTTCAGTTATTTCTCGCTCTATCTCAGTTTTGCTCTCTGTTTTACTTTTATTTTTTTTATCGTATTTAGTTATTAATTGCGACAGAACTCCGATTCTTTTTAATCTTTTTTTTTTTTTGTAAAAGAAGAGCTGATTTTAGAAGATTAATATTTTTAATTAGGTTATAATTGTGAATTTTATGCAGATTTGTTTGATTTTGTGATTTTATTAATGAGAGACTGAGTTTTTGTTTGTAGAGGCTGTTGCGGATGCTAGCAGAGCAATTGCGTTGGATGCTTCCTTGGCAAAAGCTTACTTGCGGAAAAAGGGTAAGCTCGCTTTTTTTTTTTTTTTCTTTTTACGGTTTTTGAGTTGATGAATGTGTGTCTAGGGTATTAATGGGATTGTAAGTGGAGTTTGTAGTGGTTTGACTGTGTGATTGGTGTGTTCTTTTATGTGAAATGTGGGTTCATGATGATTCTAAAGAAAAGTTGTGTTCTTGTAGTAATAAAAACGAGATTGCAAACGTGAATGGATGATTCTGTATCGATTTCTGTTTGATTATTAAAGTTATTTTCCGATAAAGGGGGGAGATGTTTTGGTATATGTGATGGCTCAAAGACATTATCATTTTCGCCATAGCTATAAAGATAATCTCATGCACGTTTTACCATCATAATCATTACTATCCACTAAACCTGGCATTCACTTGATAGTTTCTTTGGCATCACCAGGGAAACCTTATTACAGTGGCCCCATGTCTAGGCATAACTAGTGCTGCAACTGATTACTGTGACTTTGGGATGAGACAAAGAACTATATGTTCGAGATTGGGTTTGTGTATCCAAATATTAAATGGAATGCTATTTATACCTCTATTTTGGTGAATGAACTCAACAAATGAATCATGGAGCATATTTTAGCATATCTTCATTGCTTCATGGTTCTTTTTCAGTTTGATTTTCAATGTACCAGCATCAGATTTCTTTCCTATTTATGCTGTTCAGTTTTCCTCTAACCATGTGATGTTTTCCTCGCTCCTGTGTTATTTTGACCTTCATTAACTTTTATCTATAGAATTTTAGTTTTGCTTTTAGAAGTAGGTTATGAGTCAAAGTGATCATTGTCAGTGCAATGTAAAACTTTTGCGCTTGCAATCCCTTTGGAGCAAGTTTGAACTTGAGGATGGTGATTCTGGTTCTCCTTTTTATCTGCTAGTGTTTTGCTTTCTGGGAGATGTTTGATTATTAAAGTTATATTCCGATAAAGGGGGGAGATGTATTGGTATATGTGATGGCTCAAAGACATTTTCATTTTCGCCATAGCTATAAAGATGATCTCATGCACATTTTACCATCATAATCATTACTATCCACAAAACCTGGCATTCACCTGATAGTTTCTTTGGCATCACCAGGGAAACCTTATTACAGTGGCCCCATGTCTAGGCATAACTAGTGCTGCAACTGATTACTGTGACTTTGGGATGAGACAAAGAACTATATGTTCGAGATTGGGTTTGTGTATCCAAATATTAAATGGAATGCTATTTATACCTCTATTTTGGTGAATGAACTCAACAAATGAATCATGGAGCATATTTTAGCATATCTTCATTGCTTCATGGTTCTTTTTCAGTTTGATTTTCAATGTACCAGCATCAGATTTCTTTCCTATTTATGCTGTTCAGTTTTCCTCTAACCATGTGATGTTTTCCTCGCTCCTGTGTTATTTTGACCTTCATTAACTTTTATCTATAGAATTTTAGTTTTGCTTTTAGAAGTAGGTTATGAGTCAAAGTGATCATTGTCAGTGCAATGTAAAACTTTTGCGCTTGCAATCCCTTTGGAGCAAGTTTGAACTTGAGGATGGTGATTATGGTACTCTTTATCTGCTAGTGTTTTGCTTTCTGGGAGTATCATTAGGTATTGTTTTTTATTTTTTCCTTTTGTTTTCTGGAGATTAGTGTGCTTGCACACATTCTTCATTGGGTAACGTGTGGGGTGAAAAATTATAAAATTCACTTGACAAGCAGGTAGATTGGAATTTTTACTACATATTTTGGGTTCTGATAGGGTGAACAAAATATTGGAAGCAATGCTTTTTACAGGAAAACTTCTTTAAAAGGCTGCATAGGTTTTCATTCTAGACACAGCTCTGTTATGTTCAAGTTTGTTGACCTGTATTTAAACTTGGGGCCCTAGGTTTCACTTCACGTGTTTGAGGTGGTGCATTTTTACCTTTCTTCTCATGAATGGTCTGGTTGTGCTTGCTGAATTTTCTGACTGATTTTCCGATGGCACTCTCTCTGTTGCAGTATTGCATGTATGAAACTTGAGGAATATCAGACAGCTAAGGCAGCATTGGGAGCAGGCGCGTCTTTGGCACCAGGAGAGCCTAGATTCACTAACTTGATCAAAGAATGTGATGAGTGCATTGCAAGTATGTAGTTCTCCTTTTCCAGTATCAGTGTGAATACTTGGTCCATTTATTCATATTTTATGAATTGAAACAAAATAGTTTAGGGCAGTATTGTTGTGTTTTTAGAAACATTGTCACTTTATCATGATCTCATAAACGGATTCTTATGTACTTTCAGAGGAAACTGGTGAGTTGAAAAATCATGCAGCGGATGCCCCAGTTAACACTGTTTCCATAAAAGATGTCGAGCCAGAAGACACTTCTAGTCAGGCTCCAATGGTAATACCTTCCAAGCCAAAGTACAGGTTAGCACAAATTTGTGCTTGTGTATCTTTTGCAGGCACCTTCAATCCCATGGTTTGTGATTTTCAAAATTTGTTCCGGTGACATTAAATTTGGCAATGCTGGTGAAGGATTGCTTATATCTTAAAACTTCTTAGTATTGTTTCTCATTTTAATGAATACTAGTAATTTAATGTTTTTTTTTCTCAAATGAATTATGCAATTGATCTTCGGTGTTGTACAGGCATGAATTCTACCAAAAGCCAGAAGAGGTGGTTGTGACTATATTTGCAAAGGGCATACCAGCCGACAGTGTTACTGTTGATTTTGGTGAACAGATTGTATGCACTTCAATCAGAACTCTATTTCTTTGTTCATTTTCCTGGATACAAGGAGCTGAATTTATAACTTTTAAAGCATGCTGATTGCTTTGCAGCTAAGTGTTAGGATTGAGGTTCCTGGTGAAGATGGATATCATTTTCAAACTCGCTTATTTGGGAAGGTATTAATTGAGATTCACATTTTGGAATCTATCGCTTGTTTGAGCAGGCTGTAATTTTTAGATCGTTTAGCATTTGCTTGTTTGACTTGAGAGGAATGGAGGGTTATCTAAAATAATTAGCATCTAGTACTACTTTCATTCTGAGTCTTTTCCCCTGTAATACCATAGGGGCAACCTTCCTCTACTCTTTATTTCTTGGCTACTCATTGTGGAGGCAAATTTTATGCAAACAGATAATACCCGACAAGTGCAAGTATGACATCCTGTCCACCAAAGTTGAATTTCGACTTGCAAAAGCTGAACTAGGTCTGCACTGGGCATCTCTTGAATACAACAAGCAGACAGCAGTAGTACAAAGGATTGCTGTATCCTCTGGTATGTCAAATTGCTAGCAATACATTAATGTATCGTCAGCTATGTTAAATACAATTAAAATACAACTATTTACTAATATGAACTGGAGGTCGAACTGATTGTGGAATCCATTCTTGTAAAATGTTTTCTTTAACCCTCTTGCTCTTGTTATTTGTTGTTTTCAAGGCATTGTATCATGCATGTTTTCATCTTGCACGATCAAGGATAATTTGTTATGAATTGTGAGTTTTAATCTATTCCATTTTCTCAGCTAGCTTTGTTCATTACTTAGTTTATTAATTTTTCTATGCCAAGTATAGGTGAAATCCTTGTAATTGATCTTGAAATTAACTTGTGTAACTAACTTCAAGAGAATCAATGAATTGTTCCAGGAATATGCCTTGTAAGATGAGATGCATTTCTCAGGGTTCAGGGGTTGTTTTGGAACTGTGTGCGCTAGAATTGTATGTTGGTGGGATCAGGGATCCCTTAAGCCTACTGCTAGTAGCTTGAATGTGTGCATGCTGCATTATCCTTGCTAGCATTGCTTTACATCTCTCTTTGATAAATTTGCTTTTCATGATGTATGGTGCAGAAATTGTTCAAAAGCCTACCTATTCCTCATCAAAACCAAAACGAGTTGATTGGGACAAGCTTGAAGCTCAAGTAAAGAAGGAGGTAAGTAACATTTACTGATTCTGTACTCGTGTTTTGTGTTCATGTTTTTACAAAAGATGTAGAGAATCGAAGGTTGAGATAATTTTATGGATATCAGGAGAAAGAAGAGAAGCTAGATGGGGATGCAGCTTTGAACAAATTTTTCCGAGAAATTTATCAAGATGCTGATGAAGACACAAGAAGAGCCATGAAAAAATCTTTTGTAAGGCCTTTGAACACACTATAATTGTTTATGAAGTGTTATGCAATCATTCAAGAGTGATGGAAAAAGCTGCCTAATATTTGCTGTGCTTCCTGTTTAACAACAAAAGGTGGAGTCCAACGGCACGGTGCTGTCGACGAACTGGAAAGAAGTGGGTACGAAGAAGGTGGAAGGAAGCCCTCCTGATGGGATGGAGATGAGGAAATGGGAGTACTGAGCTTGTGTTTTGGTAATGGGGAATGTGCTGTAAAGAACATAACAGTTAGATTTTGTTCCCTGAATGATGATTGTTGTTGTGTTTTTTTGTTTCCTTGCTTAAAAATTCTGAGCTAAAATGAAGAGGTTGACGGTTGTGTTGTCGGGTGGTGTTATAGCAGAAAACTGCCGCGTCTGTACAATGTCTAAAACCTTGACTGGTTTCACTCGTGTGGCGTCAGTTCTCATTTCCTGCAAGGGATAATGACTTCCTTCGTCTCTCCTTATGTAATGAGTTTAGCAGGAGATTGGAATTAGGCAAGGTGATGTGTGTGTTTTGAATATGACCGTCAGGGTTAATTGTTAAACGCAGAAAACTGCCGCGTCTCGTCTGTACAACGTCTAAAACCTTGACTGGTTTCACTCGTGTGGCGTCAGTTCTCATTTCCTGCAAGGGATAATGACTTCCTTCGTCTCTCCTTATGTAATGAGTTTAGCAGGAGATTGGAATTAGGCAAGGTGATGTGTGTGTTTTGAATATGACCGTCAGGGTTAATTGTTAAACAACTCAATCGTTCTTCTAAAATATATGAAAATCCCCAATATATCCACATCCTAGTTTATTATTTCTAAAATCCTACATCTTAGATTTTTGTTGATCAATTTCCAGAAAATCTTCCATCATATCCTATTCCTTGTATGCTGTCTGGAAACGGCAGTGTATAATCATGCGAGTCTGGATAATAGAGCATTAGATGCTACACAGATAATAATAAAAATAATAAAGGGACCGCATCCAGTCATCTATAAAATGGATTTATGTAGAAAAACAATAGATACATGCATTTTAATAAGCAAATCATTTTAAAATCTTATTTAATTACACTACAGCATATCAATCTAAGAGATGCTTGTGGAACTATAATTTTAATCAAACCTTCAATCTTGGTTCATATAATCTTTTTTCTTTTCTTTTTAAATCCAAATATCAAAGTGCATTTCGTTAGATGAAGATATCACCAACTATGAAACCTAGCAAAATTAAATTCTGTATTTTTATTATTAAAAATTAAAAACTTGCCTCACTTTGAAAATAATGAAAAACAACATTACATGAGATCTTGATAGAATTTATCATCATATTATTGAAAAAAAAAACAAAAAATATTAAGTTAACTAACTGAACAACACGCAACATTTTCCTTTCCAAGTAGGATGGTTTTAAAATAAAATAAAATAAAATAAAATAAAATAAAGGCGTCCACGACAGGTCGTTTGAAGCTCCCAAATCTCCACAGCCCAAAAAACTAGAAAGCTTTCTTCCTCCACCCTTCCACTCGCACCCTGTTTCTTCTCCAGGCAACCTCAACGATCTACAAATTTCTCTGGTAACTGTTGTCTCTCGGTATCTTAAACTTCATTTCTTCGATCAGGGTCAGTGAGATTCATCGTTGAAATCCCAACAAGATGCAGTTTTTTGGAGGGTCAGACATAAGTCCATCACCACCAGCACCAACTGCATCAGGGAACAATGCACACATGATGTACGTATTTAACAGGAACGGCGTTTGTTTTCTATATAGAGAATGGAATCGCCCACTTCACACTCTTAATGCTCAGCAAGACCACAAGCTCATGTTTGGTTTGCTCTTCTCTCTCAAATCCTTGACTGCCAAGATGGATCCCACAAGGTTTTTTTTCCTAATTTCTCTAATGCTGTGTAACTTTTCTTGCTGCTTTGTTACTGGATTGCTGAATTTTGATTAATGGTTCAAATTTTGGGAACTTAGAATGGTAATTAAATATGGTCCCACAAGGTTTTATTTATTTATCTTTGTTACTGAGTAGATTTAATTTCGAGTAAGTTTTCGATTTTTAGAATCATGGAGTGGTGATTGAATGTGATTTTAGTGCATGGTTGCGAAGTGGTTAGTTCTTCTTTAGGAGATGTAACATCTGGGATGCTCTCTTCTTATGCTACTTGGCTGGTTGTGATTTTGCATTAAATTCAATTTTGAGAATCATGGAATGCTGATTTAATGTGATCTTTGTGACTGTTTGAGAATTGGGATGGTTCATCATTAGGCTATGTAATATCTGGATGCTTCTTTTGATACTGAGTGGTTGTGATTCTAAGTAAAGATTCGATTTTGGATTCAGTTGCTGATTATTTATGAGTGATATTATAAGGATGTTGTTTATTTGTAGCATTTGAGATTGTGTTGATTTTTTAAAATCATAGAATGGTATTGCAATATTTATGTGCTCTCTTTTATATATAAATATATATATATAAATATATATATATATATATAAATTTGAATGGTTGTGGTGCTTAAGTGAGTATTCAGTTTTGAGAACCATGAATCATTAAGGAATGTGATTTTGGTTCATGGTTGTGAAATGGGTTGTTGTTCTATAGGACAAGTAACATATGAGATGCTCTTTCTGATACTGGATAAGGGGAAATTTTGAGTAAAGATTCAATTTTGAGATTCGTAGAGGATATGGGACCGTTTGGGAACGTGGTCCAACCAGCGTTCCCAAAAAATTTGATTTTTTTTTTTGCTTAAAATTAATATTTTTATAGTGTTTTTGGATTGTTTTGATGCGCTGATATCAAAAATATTTTTTTTTTAAATAAAAAACATTATTTTAATGCATTTCTGAGTGAAAAACAATCGCAACCACACTCCCAAACACACTAGTGCATGATTGTGAAATGGGGCTGTTGATTTTTAGTATATGTAATGTTTGAATGTTCTTTTTAGCATTGGGAGCTGACCTGTGTAAAGATTATTTTTTAGAGTCCATTGCTTGTAATTAAGGATGATCTTAGAGAATGTTTGAGTACTGTGATTGTTAATCATGAGGATATGTAACATTTGCATGCTCCTTTTGATGCTCAGTAGTTGTGATTTTGGGTGAAGATTCATTTTTTGGATCATAAAATGTTTATTGAGTATGATTTTAGTGAGTGGTTGTGAAGTGCAGAACGGATTAATTGCTTAATTTTGATTCAACTTAGATAGTTGAGAGTGATATTTTAGGGACTTATTTGTAGCATTTGAGATTGTGTTGATTTTATCATTATTATTACTTTTTAATTCTTTGTTCGGTGAGCAGTATGGATAAAGGAAACCTTGGGGTGCCTCAGTTACCAGGACAAGGTTGTTCGTTTCACAGTTTTCGTACAAATACATACAAGCTTAGTTTCATGGAAACTCCTTCTGGGATAAAGGTCAGATTTTTGTACTTTATATGCTTTAATGTGTGTGAATTTCAATTATTTTAAGCATTCATTTGCTTTACATTTTTGTTGAGTGCTTGATTGTTAGTTTGAGATCATGCAATTTCAGTTTTTGGGAAGAGGTTTTGGTGAAAATTGAGTCCATTAGCAGGGTTTCCTGCTAAATATTGTAATTGGAAGTCTTGCTAAGTGGACAATGGAATGAGAAGTCAATTATGTTAGAGAAGTTCTCATGTCACTCATGATGCCACTGTAAAACTCAAGTTATTCTTGATTTTATCAAAGGCTCAATCTCGTCTTTCAGTTTGATTGGATACCTGATATGTATTCTATCCCTTAAACATTGCAATGTTGCCAAAGTGATGTGATATGGTTTCCAGTATGGCGGTTGATGTTGTGGAAATGCTTCATTTAATTTGTTCAACTTTAGAAGCTTATAATTTTGTTTGAGATATCATAGAACTTGCCCATAAATCAGTTACAAACTGGTGTACATATTTATAAGAAATTGGGATGTGCTTAAATGATTTTGATTTACCTCTCAGAACTTGCAGTGACTTGTTTTTCTCATAGCTGGATTTTATTACTGTTATGTTTGATCAGCAACTCTTAATTCTGATTAATATCCAGTTGTAATTAACTTTTCAAACAATGCCATGAATAGCAGACTTGTACAAGTGTCATGTCTGATGAGTAACTCTTAATTCTTCTTGAATTCCAGTTCTAATTAAAGCTTTCAAAAAGTAGTATGAATAAAATCCACATAGTTCAGTTGGCTGTCTGATTGGTTGAGGAATGTAGTTCTTGGACATCCCATTTTACCATTGCAGTTTAATGGCCTCATTCTTGAAAGCAGTTTGATTATGCAAGATCTAATTCCGTAGCAGCTCCAAGTTCTTGTATTTTGTTCAATTGTTATACTTTTTAATCAGCATTAGGTTTGTGCAGATTATCCTGATTACTCACCCCAAAACTGGTGATCTACGGGAATCCTTGAAGTATATTTATAACTTGTATGTTGAATATGTAGTCAAGAATCCAATCTACACTCCTGGAGCCCCTATCAGGTAATGCAAAACCCTACTTTGTAATAAAGCTGCATGCAGGGTAACACTACCTGTAGTACATTAAGGATGAACAATCAGTGTAGCTGAATTTATCCTCACTGACAAAAGATTGTCACGAAATAAGAAAAATATTCCTTTTCTGTGTATCCTTCAAGGAGTTATGCTGAAAAATTCTTCTTCGTGTACTTATGTTCTGTTCCCAACCTAAAAAAGTGTTAATGGGATATAACCTGTACTTTGTTTTGTGTACACAAAAGCAATAACTCTACGCCCTATGCATTCAGCTTTACCTTTTATGGACCTTGGAGGATCCCATAGCTCCCCATTCACCAATTCTGAACTGCTAGTGCACAATGCAAAGTTCAATGGTAGATGATTGACAGATTCAGTTCGCATCTCTGCATAAAAGCACAGTTATTTTGTTTTTGTTTTTTATAAATTACTAATAGTTAATGTCCGGCCCTGTGTAACTCCAAAGTAATCCACACACGTATATACACACATGCATACATGTATTCATGTGTTTTCTTCTATCCTCTGCTGACAACTGCTTGTACTGAATTTGATTAGTTTTTCTTCTAATAGTAATAGCTGGATGATTGTTTTTAACTAAATGAATTTGTTTTTACTTTCTATAGGTGTGAGTTGTTCAACACTTCTCTTGATCAATATGTAAGAAGTATTTCATAGTCCCTCAGGTAGTGAACTGTTATCTTGTTATCCTCTGCAAGGTGCATGATTTTGATTCTTGTTTATACTGAATAAGAAATAAGTGAGGGTTTTCGTATTGCAGTCTACTCTTCAAACCAAGACCGAAGTGGAACTGGAGATTTGGTTCTGCAAAAGTTCAGCGGAGCTGCCTACTTTCCGTGGATACTTTATGACAGTATGATTTCAAGAATGTTATAGAATTGCGATGCTCTTTCATTCTAATTGGTGAACTTAGGCATACAGTTTGATGTTGATTTCCATTATTAAGGCACTGATTTCTGTGTAAAAATCAGTGGTGAAAAACTTGTGGAGCAGGGATATTCGTAATATAATCTGAGAAACTATCTGTTTTTAGTGAAAGATGCTTTGTTGTGATCTAGATAATACTTCATTGTCTGATGTCGTAGGACATTATGGGCTCTGATTTTGTTGAATATAAAATTGCTGTGAATCCAAACTAATCTTAAGCAGTTTAAAGTTGATTTAACAAAAGCTTGGACGTTTTCATGAAATTTTTTTAAAGATAGACATGGACACATTGCAAGTTGAAGAAACAAAAGTTTGTTTTCATGATGGGACTCTGAAGTCTGAAATCTTGTGGTCCTCCCTTCCTTTCCCACTCCCTGCCCCTGTTTTTTCTACCGATTGTCCTGGTAACTACTTGTCAAGGAAAGATAAATAAATTCTATTGGCTTCCTTTGGTGAAAATGTAGAAGATATCTTGTGCCTACAAACAACCATGGAATCTGACGTTAGTGCTGACTACTGTTTAGGGCTTAGATTTCTGATGTACTCTGGCCTTAATTTTGTCTAGATTTAGGAATTTTAGGTTTGGTTTCGATGGTTGTTTGCTACTTCAGTATTGTCTTCGCCTAGTATGAGAAACCAAGGTGAAAGACTTGACATCAATTATTTAATATCTAAACATATCATTGAAAATCTTGGGTGGAACCGCACGTATCTATCCCTATGCCATGCCAAGATGCTGCTTCTAGCCTCTCTTTTTTGTCCTATTAAAATAGACAGCCATAGGAAAGGCCACAAGGAGCCACAGAAGAGGCCACGCCTCTCCGATTGGCCAGTTGATATCTATGGTGGAGCTAGGCAAACTGTTATTGACCCAGCGACCTTCCCTATCTATTCACATTCTCATCACTTCTGTACACAGAAACCTTCCCTATCTATTCACATGCTCATCACTCCTGTACCCAGCAACCTTATTGTTGAATCGGAAGAAATGAAACTTGCTTTGCCAATAAACGAAGCGGATGACGGGTTTGTAGGTTTAGCAAGGTTCGAGGAGCGAGTTAGAGGGTAGATGGAGTCAGAGAAAGGTAAGTTGGTTTGGTACCGAGCTCTTGCTGTGAGAAATGCAGCCGAGGCTGCATTGATGGAGGGTGATGCTTCTCGGGTGGCAGTGTCCAAACTTGTCCAGTCATGGAAACGTGCCTTCAGCTTGTTCACGTCGTTTTACTTGTGGGGTTAGTGTGATCATGTTGTCTTTGCCAGGTGCCCACTTCAATAAATAATTCAAACAAATCATAGCCAGCCAAGAATCTTGAAACGAAGATTGTGATAAATTGATAATTATAATTTATTATTTTATATATTTAGAGGCTGGAATCCACTAAACTGATGTCAAGACAAAATTCAGCAACGCGACAAAATCAATCAATTAGAATACCCTGTAAGAAATTCAATTAACCCATGAGTGAAAATGCTAAATTTGTTTAACTGGTGTTTTCTTTAAGGGGAGGGACATTGTTTTTTTTTTTTATTATTTAAATTGCAATAAAAAGCATAAGGAAGAAAAAAATATATTTATTAAACTCAATTCTATTTTAAAAAATCAAAGAATTTTGACAAGATAAATCGAGTTACAAGTCAACAAAACAACTACCATAATAAAATCATGATATAAAGATCTTCAAAACCGAAAATGAATTCCAAAGGAGCAAGTGCTGTCATGATCAGTCAACCACTCATCATATCGATTACCTCCAAGATGATGTGAGCAATCTTTTATTTCCAGTACCGAAGGGTCTCTAACAGAAGAATTATTGGCATCATGAATGGCAAGGGAATAGCTTAGTTGGGCTGTCATTACAGCTGTTGAGCTCGAGTGGTATTTATATCCTTTTATCTTAGATTTTCCATCAATTTTTCTTGAAGGATGGGATACTTGACTTCTATTTTCTCCTTTATAACAAAAGGAAAAAAGAAGAAAGAAGGATAGCCATGTTTATTCTGTCAAAATCGACAACATCAATCACATGAGAAAGAGTAGTGATGCACGGCAATGCTTGGTAAGCATGCTTTCTCCATTCACCTAACTTCTGGTGTAATTTCTGCCATCATATGGGATCTGAATTGAATCACAAACAAAGTTTGACAATTTATGTAATGGTGTACGACATTTTGCTACTTCTCTTCCCATAATTACAGGAGAATTTCGACCTAAATTGTGTTTTCATACATCATTACAACTAGGGTTGATAAACCTGTTCCAGCTAGACATGTTAACTGGTGTTTTGTCAATTCAGGATTTAGCCTGGGTTTAGTTTTAAAATAAATTAGATTGGATTTGTCTTGGTTAACACACGGTTAGTTTGATCATGATTTAATTTTCTTTTTGTAAAAGAAATTCAAAATAATATTGTTTTAGTTTTTTTTTTTAAATAATAAATCTTGAAGCCATGGATAGCCTTGTATCGAAACACATCTTTAATAACTTTGAATATAATACCACGTATGTATATAACAATTAGAACAATGGGAATCAAAATACTGAATGATTGATCGTATCAATAATAACTTACTTCTCACAAGCGACACCAACAAACGGTAGCACTGCATCAGTTAATAGGGATTCATTAATTAAATCCAACACGAAGCTATGTCAATGTTGTCGACTTCCACAAGTTCAGGCACGAACACCAATTGCCATTTGCTTGTATGTTTCTTACAAACGTAGTCATGACAAAACATTCATTGTAGCACGTTTCAATCATGTCTTGTCACAATAATGGCTGAGGTGTGAAAGATCCCACTAAAGAATTCAAAAAGAATTTGATTGCAAGGAAGATAGGGAGGCTTAATTGCAAGTTCAACAATTCAAAACCTAATCTTATCACCTTTTAAATTATTGTTTTCTCACATTACAAATATGTTGTCCACTCACTTCTCACCCCATCCCAAGATTTTGTAGCGCTTGTTTCTGTTCAATCTCTCAAGGAGAGCGATGGAGGAGGCGCTGGTTCTGTACCCTTCACCACCTATTGGCCACTTGGTTTCTATGGTGGAGCTAGGAAAACTTATACTCACTCACAGACCATCTCTCTCCATTCATATTCTCATTGCTGCATCACCCTATGTTGCAGGCAAGGCTGATAAATACATGGCCACTGTTTCCGCCACTGTTCCTTCCATCGATTTCCATCATCTCCCCATTGTTACACCAGTATCCACCAATATAACCCACCATGAAGAACTCACCTTGGAGGTCCTTCACCTTAGCAAACCTCATGTTCATGAAGAGCTCCTCAACATTTCCAAAAGGTATAAAATTCGTGGCCTTGTTATGGACTTCTTTTGCACCTCGGGTCTCTCTGTTGCCACTGAACTTGACATTCCTAGTTACTTTTTCCTCACTTCTGGTGCTTGTTTTCTTGCCTTTTTCCTTTACCTCCCTACCCTTCACCAAAAAACCTCCAAAAGTTTCAAAGATATGAAAGATCACTACCTTGATATTCCTGGCTTGCCACCTCTTCTTGCTACTGATTTGCCAAACCCTTTTCTTGACCGGGACAATCAGGCTTATCAACACTTTCTTGATTTTGCCACTCAGTTCCCTCAGGCATCAGGAATCATGATCAACACATTTGAATTGCTGGAGTCCAGGGTTGTTAAGGCGATATCAGATGGGCTCTGTGTGCCTAATAATCGCACACCGCCAATTTCTTGTATTGGTCCATTGATTGTAGCTGACGACAAAAGAGGTGGTAGCGGCAAGAGTAGCCCCGAAGATGTGCACGAGTGTTTATCCTGGCTTGATTCCCAACCAAGCCAAAGTGTTGTGTTTCTTTGTTTTGGTAGCCTGGGGCTATTCACCAAGGAACAGTTATGGGAAATAGCTGCTGGGTTGGAAAACAGTGGTCAGAGGTTCTTGTGGGTAGTTCGGAACCCACCTTCTCATAATCTAAAGGTAGCCATCAAAGAACAGGGAGAGCCTGATTTGGATTCTTTGCTGCCTGAAGGTTTCTTGGAACGAACTAAGGAGAGGGGATATGTGGTGAAGTCATGGGCACCACAAGTGGCAATTGTGAATCACAGTTCAGTAGGTGGATTTGTGACTCATTGTGGTTGGAATTCTACACTTGAAGCCGTCTTTGCTGGTTTACCAATGGTGGCTTGGCCATTGTATGCAGAGCAAAGGCTGAATAGGGTAGTGTTAGTGGAGGAAATGAAGCTTGCTTTGTCAATGAATGAGTCTGAAGATGGATTTGTGAGTGCTGATGAGGTGGAGAAGAAGGTTAGAGGATTAATGGAGTCCAAGGAAGGTAAAATGATTAGGGAAAGAGCTCTTGCTATGAAGAACGAAGCCAAGGCTGCACTAAGTGAAGGTGGTTCTTCTCATGTTGCTTTATCCAAGCTTCTAGAGTCATGGAAGCATGGAAAATGACTTGAGCCTGCTTGTCTCCTTGGCCTGTTCTACCTTGGATTCTCGGGTGGGATTGTGCAACCTTATCTTTTGTCTCTGTAACTTCTCGAAATTAATGTATCAATGATGTATTTTGTAAGGAAATAACACTACCATCAGACATGGAATTGATATTCTTATGAACCATTATGTTTGCATCCACCAACCTATTTAAAAAAATTTCTAAACCCAGGCACAATCATAATCCTAATACTTGTATCAATTTTAATTATTTTTGGTTAAAAAAACAAACAAACAAACAAAGGATTAGGCACTATTTACACTGTGTTTGACAAAAATCTAATATTTTTTTTTATGAAAATTACATTTTTATGTTTTAAATTATTTTAATATGTTAAGTTAAAAATAATTTAAAAAAAATAAAAAAAAAATATGTTAATATAATTCAATACAAAAATCACTTTAAAAAATAGCTATAACCACGTTAATAAAATGACACTAATAGCTAAGATGGCAAGCATGGTTTAAATTTGAAAGAAGACATGAAAAAAGGTTTTATAATGAAGATCGTCCGTCAAATCCTTAAAAACAGGGACGATTGATCTTCATCCAAGCAAACCTCAAATTAAGAAACAAACCATGCCCGGAGAAGTTACTAGCCAATACTTATTTTTCAAAACAAACAACATTACTCTCTTATGAAAGCTTTTTGATCATTTTATTATAAATTTAGAGGTTATTTAAAAATAACATTTTAAAATTATATATTTAATATTATTTTAAAAAAAATTAGTGGCATATATCAATACGTGGACAGCTTTTATGTAATTCAAGTAGCATACGTAGCTATCCAGCCACCAAACTTTATTTTTTAGGAAGTTGTTTGGAAAATCTCGGAACTTTTTTTTATATAGTGGTGGAAGTGTATATATTATAATCATTGCTGGTTTGGTAATAATAGCTTCTTCTTTTTTCTCTCTCTTTCTTACTCAAATTTTGTGTTCGCTACTGTAAAATTTCAGAACAATCCCTTCAATTGTTTTTTCCTTCACATTTGATCCCGATACTTTTGATTATTATTATTTACTTTAGAATAAGGTATAAGATTATAAATTATTTTCAATTTTATCCCCTATGATTTTTTTTAATCTTTTAAACTTGGTCCTTATTTTTTAATTACTTCTTATTTTATTTGATATTATTTTTTATTTTTTTTATTTTATCTTCCTTAAGTTTTTTTTCTATCAAATTTTATCATCATTTTTGTTGTTGCTATTTGTTGGCTTTTACATTTTTTTTTATTGATATTTTTTATTCATTTTATCTTTTAAAATTAAATTAATTAAGAATTAAACTTATTGATTTAACATGGATCCAAAATTTCACAGGTTATAAGTTTTAGCGACTAGATTAAATGAAGGAGGTTTATTCGGGTTTGCTTGTTTTTTTTAAGGTAATTTTTTATTTTTTTTTCACTTTATTATTTTTTTTTTTTAGGTTTGCCTACTATTTGTTTTAATTTCACTCCTTATCATTTTTTAATAAATGAATAATCTATAAAAATATAATTTTTTTTCAATTTAACTCCCTTATGATTTTTTATATTTTATATTTGATTTTTATTCTTTTAATTACTATTTATTTTTCAGATTTATTTTAAAATTTATTTTCAAATTTCATCCTATTTGAGTTTTTTTTCTATTAAATTTATTAATAATTGAGTTTTTGAGTTGAATCTGGATCCAAAATTTTATGGGTTGCAACTTTTAAAGGTAAAATCAAGTTTATGGGATTTTCCAAGTTTATTTGTTTGTTTTTCATTTTTTGATGATGTTTTCTTATTTTTAATTGAGTGAAATTCCCATGTAAATCATACAAAATGAAGTAAAAAACACACAATATTTAATTGATTAGTACTATACGAAATTAACACGTAAATAACCTAAAAGAAAGCGGAAATAATTTTTATTTTATTTTATTTTGGCAGGGCACTGGATATATATATATATATATATATATATATATATATATATATATATATAAAAGGATGTTATTTTGATTTTTTTTTAAATTTTTA